AACTGTTTATTATTGTGGGTATTTAATTCTTTTTATATTATGTTAAAAAACTGTGTTTCTTTTATTAAAGAAAATTCTGCATTTATATACATAAATTTCTAACAGGACAATTATGGCCAGTGAACAATTATGAATAGCGAGCATTAATGGCCAGTGAACAATAATGACCAGCAAACATTAATAGTTAGTGAACAATAATGACCAGCGAACATTAATGGGCAGTGATCTTCATTACGCTAACTTAAATTCTATTAGCTGAATTTCTTATAATAATAATAATAGTAATAAAACATTAAGCAATACATATTTAGAAGTGAAACGCTAATAATAAATGCTAATAAACTAAAAATAAAATAAAGAAGAAAATAATAATAGATACATTAATAAATGTTAATATAATGATTATTAATAAAACCAATACATCTTATGATACAAGTAATTAATACATATAATTATTAATGTAACATATGCCTCCTTTATATTATGAGCTCTTACGAGTTTAATAATTGTTCCAATTCTTACTGTTTTTGTTGTCTTGTATGCAGAATTAGTTGCTTGTAAATTTCACTTTCTTTCATATTTTCTAGGTGTGTATGTCGAATAAATTTTGCTTGATATAAAGTTAAAATTCCTCTTGCAATATATAATTCGAAAACTCGTCGCAAAACCTTTTTTATTTCTTTGTATCTTCAGATTAGGAAATTATTTTGCAATACATTTTTATCTTCAGTTATCCATCCATGGTTGGCTAGTAGATTTCCCAAATAATATAAGTTTCCAGTTGGTATGTTGCTTTATTAATTTTAAACTCAGTTCTCCTAATATTTTCTATTATTGTAATTATACTTGAAGTCGAAATAAAAACCCAAAAAGTCGAAATATTTCGACTTTGGAGGTCAAAGTCGAAATGAAAAGTCGAAATAGTCGAAATTACATCATATTATATGATTTTTATATATAAAAAAAAATAAAAGATGTACGATTTCGGTCAATATCGTACCAATTCATATGAAACAACTACTATTCGATTTCTCGTGACTAGACGAATCCAATGAGCTAACATACATTGATTTTGGATCATCCCACATTGAGATATTTGCGATCATATTTCGAAATCCAGACTCCTTTATTTAAAGTAGAATTTATTGATTTATAATTTCGAACGATAATACAATTGCAAGTATCTCGTGATTAGATGATCCAAAATCAATGAATTTTAGCTTATTGGATCTGCCTAGTTTTGAGAAATCGAATGGTAGTTGTTTCATACGAATCAGTGCGATATTGACCAAGATTGTATATCTTTTATTTTTTGTTTTTTCTAAATATAAAAAATCATGTGATATTATTTCATTTCGACTATTTCGCAACTTTAGCCTCCAATGGTCAAAATGATTTCGACCATTTCGACCATTTCGGATATCTGAAATGATTCACTTCAACTTCATATATAATTGTAATTAATCTTTGTTCTTTGGGTTATTCAATATAGCTAGGAAAAGGGATTATCTCCGATGAAGTGTAGTCAAAGTCCTCTTAACATCTATCGATTTTTGTTCTGTTGAAGTATTCCTGTATCACAGATGGTATTGTCATAGTTATTATATTTTCTGAATTTAAAATAGTTATCGCGAAGGAAGTAATTTGCAGGGTTTTATCATTTTTGGTTTCCTGTTGCCATAATTCCAAAAACTGGCATAATGATTTTTTTAGATTCTTTGCCATAAAAAAAATTATTATTATTATTATTTTTTTTTATATATATATACGCATTTTTATGTGAAAATTATTAGTAATCATTATAATAATAACCGCATATAGTTAAAATAGATTAGGCAGATCGTTCGTGATACAATTTCAATCTTTCACTATTAACAGGAGTTTTTAGTACTTAATCATCCATTATTCATATCTTATAGATACTATTGCCTAGAACATTATGTATTATGTAAGGTCTTTTTTATCGTTCTTCCAATTTCTTTTTGTCCCATAAATTACTCTTATATAGTAAGACTAAGTCACCTCATTTAAATTGTGCCTTCTTTAAGTTTTTATCATGTCAGTTTTATTATTTTAACTGTGATTGTTCTATATTTTTCTGAGCTTTTGTTTTATTATCCTCAAAAGTCCCGATAATATTTTGTATTTGATTTAATAATTAATCAGAAGCTATTGGTTACGCTTGCAAGGTTGAATTTAATATTTCTGTTGGAATAATGGCTTTGCGTCTATACATTAAATAAAATGGCTCATGTCTTGTGATCTCATGTCTTTTTGTTCTATAAGCGAAAAGGAATGAGGAAATATAGTTGTTCCAGTCATCTTTGTGGTCATTGGCGAACTTGGCTAAAGTCTCGCATAATATTTGGTTGAATCACTCGACTAGCTCATTCATTTGCAGGTGATAAGTGAATGACAACTTATGTTTTATTCACATAAGGAATTAAGCATTTCATTAACAAAAATTGTTCCTTTGGTCGGTTAATAGTATCTTTGGACAACCATGTCTGCATATAATGTCTTCGTAGAAAAACGAAACTACCAAAGAAGCCTTAGCATCAGGTATCGCATGTGTCTCAGGCCACTTAGTTAAATATTCTGTAGCCACAACAATGTAGGAATTTCCATACAATATCTATTTCAACTCTGTCAAAAGGTTTGATTGGATGTAAAGGTTCAGTATGTTTATTTTTGTCCCTTCGCTAACATTTATCGCATGTTTTCACATATTTCCTTACGTCTTTGAACATTTAAGGCCAATAATATCTTATTTTAACTCTTCTATAGGTTTTTTCTATAGCGAAATGTCCTGCTAATGGATCTGAATGTACATAGTATAGAATTGTTTCTATTTCATTTCTTTTGATTACTTTAAATAGTCGATTCAGTTCCTTTCTATTCTTTTTGTATAGTTGTTCTTCGATTACAATAAAATATCTTGATTTTCTTTTTATTTCGATTTGTTGTTCTTTAGTAAGTTGTGTTAGCATTATTAAATCCATTAAGTATTATGTGAGGGAGTAGTATGTGTTGGGGTCCATAATGGTCAAAATTTGTTATCATTAAGAAGTGTTGTGAATGCTATTTCCATTGCTGTATTTAAAGATTTATTCTTTTGTTATTAATGGGTTATTCAGCTTAAAGTATCTACGTTTGAATGTTGTTTTCCTAGTCGGTTGATAATATCAAAGTCAAATGAATTAAGAGTCATAATCTAGTGTCTAAGTTTGCCAACAGGGTTTGAGTTATTTTTACAAATATACTAAAGTGGAATGGTCAGTAACAACAACAAATCTTTGTCCATAAAGATAATGATAAAAGTATCTTATTGCCCATACAACAGCAAGCATTTGAGTTCAGTAATAGTATAGTTTCGTTCATGCTTGTTTAATATATGACTAGCATATGCTATAATATGTTCTTTAGAATCAATTCCTTTTTGCGATAATATTGCCCCTAATGTAAAAGTTAAAAAATCCATATATAGAATGAAAGATTTTTCGAAATTAGGATATGCTAATATTGGAGGTATTATTAAGCATGATCTGAGTTTCTCAAAGGCTTCTTGCTAATATTTCGTCTATTGATAATATACATTCTTCTTTAAAAGTCAGTTCAAAGGTTTAGCTATCATTGAAAACCCTTTAACAAACTTTTTGTAGTAAGAGGCTAACGCGATAAAACCTCTAAGTTGGGTCAAATCTTTTGGTAAGGGTAATCTTTTATTACTCTTAATTTCTCAGGATCAGTCTGAATTCCTTCTCCACTTATCACATGACCTAGAAAAGGTAACTTTCGCTTAAAGAAGAAACATTTTTCTTAACTTTAGTCCAGCATTTCTCAACTGCATAAACACTTGCTTTAAATTACATGAGATGTTCTTCGAAGGTTCTTGATCCGATATTAATATCATTAACATATACAACAACAAATTGCCATAATATGTCTCTTAAAATAGTGTCCATTAAGCGTTAAAATGTGGCAGACGCATTACACAGTCCAAATAGCATTACGCTAAATTCATAGATACCGAATTTAATTATGAAAGTTGTCTTTTTCATATTTCTGGAATCCGATTCAACTTGCTAGAATCCACTAGCAAGGTCAAGAGAAGTAAACCAAGAAGATCCTGATAAAGTTTTCAACATATCATCTATCCTAGATAAAGGGTAACAATTTTTCTTGGTTACTCTATTTAGTTTTCGATAATCTACTTAAAGCTGTTTTTCCATTTTTCTTTTCCACTACCACAACTGAGGAGTCCATTGACTATTCAAAGGTTTGATCAGTCCATTTTTTAATAACTGCTGAATTTCTTCATTAATAAATTCCTGATTTTTGTGAAAAGTTCGGTAAAATTTCTGTTTGATAGGTTCTGCTATACTGGTATTAATTGAATGTTTAATAGCCCAAATTCATCTGAATCTCAGACAAATAAATCATTGTATTCATGCATGAATGCTTTAAAGGTTTTCTTTTGTTTCATATTCAATTCTCCAATATGGAAATTTCCTTTCTCAATCTCTTCATACTGATAATATGATTCTTTGGATATTGTAGTATTGCCGATTTGCTCAATTATTGTATTTTCAATTTGTTCAGATTCCTCCATGAATATATATTGGTTAAAACAATATACTTATTCTTGTAAATCAGCTTCTCCTCATATCCTTCATCTGTATCACTATCATTGATGATATGTTTTTCTTGTTCATTATCTTTGATTTCTTCTTCATCAATCTTTTTGAGAATACAATCATATGGTAATTAATAGCATTCAACTGGTACATTAATGTCTTCATTATTCCAAAGGAAGTTTAGTAGCCCTTTTCTATAATCAATTATTGCCTGTGTTTCTTTTAACCAGTCATTTTCTACAATAGCAGCATAGGATTCGTCTTCTGTAATTACTACGTCAAAAGGAATTATGTGGTTATTAATTTTTAAAGGAATTTTAGTTACTACTCCTAATGGTCTTCTTTTTTCTTCATTGACATTGACTATAATAGTTTTCGATGCTTATGTTTTTCCATATCCAAATCCTTTAGTAACTTCAAGGATATAATACATCCTGCAGAACCAAAATCAATTATAAGAAGTATCTTTACTCTGTCTATATATGTGTTGCAGTACAATGCCGTTGCTCTTTTTGTAGTATCATTTTTTGACAAATTGGATTCCATATTGTCAGGTTTATTGGTCTTTTCTTCCATAATAATTTGCTCTTTAGGTTTCTTTGCTATGGGCTTTCATATCACTTTCATTACAGCTTGCCCGAATTTTGGATTCATCATAATTAGTTGGCCATTCATAATATTCACGGGTTAATCAAAAATCTTTATGGTATATACGAATTAACCATACCATTTATAGGCGGCACCAAAGGTGACTTCCTTTTCAACAGTTTTATTTTAACCTTTTTATTTGCTTGTTAACTGGTTAATGGCTGGACCTCTCTTTCGTCATCATTTCTCTTTTATTTTCAGTTTCTTAATAACACTCATAAGGAGTTTCTTGAGCGGCCTTAAATTGTGTTTTCATTGCTGGATATGCTTAGAATAATAATAAATTTGAGAGAATGACTAATGGTTCCATACCTTCACCCTCATAAGGTACACCATTTAGTTTAACTACTGTTCTTTGGTGTCATCCTGTATCAATTGTGATAATAACTGAAGTAGCTGCAGTTTCTGTATTTTATTATTCATCATATAAGGAGTATTATATAGTACTGGTGGAACTGGAGGGACCATATTTGTGGTATTGCTTTTCGAAGCTTGATTATGCTAAAGGACTGGATTATCATGAGAAATATTAAAATTATTAGGACAATTTCTTCTTATGTGTTCAGGCTGTTTGCATAAATAATAGATGAGATTGTTTTGTTGAGGTGTAATAGTAAGGAACGCATTGTTCGACTGAAAGTTTTATGATTTTTGGTATCCATCATTCCTCTGATACCCATTATTTCTGTGATATCCATTATTACGAAAGTCCCTTCTTCCAAAATTTATTTGCTGGATTTGCTGTGTCAAATTAGCTATGGCTTCATTAAGAGCATTAGTCTGAGTGGATGGTGTAGTTGTATCATACTTGTTTATGTATGCAGCTACAGCATTTTGGTCTTTATATGTTAATTTATAAGACTTGGCTCAGTTGAGTGCTGCATTCCAAGTTTGGTCATTATGAGGCTTTACCATTAAATATAATTCTGATAAGAGACTATTTACAAGTCTTCAAGCTTTCATCGTTGCTAAATATGCAAACCGAGGGGTTTCTATTCTTCGATATAACTCCTGTAGAGCACAATCATATGCATCAACAGTTTCGTTAGGTCTTTGATGTCATCATTTTAATTCTGTAATCCAGATTTCAACTAAGGTTTGAGAATGAAAGGCAGTAGGAAAATTTTGTATGAAATTTGTATTGTTGTTGTTTCCATCCTATGCATTAATCTTATTTGCATTATTATTAGGCAATGCTTGATTAGTAGTCCACTATATAGAAGCTGATCCTTTAAGGTAAGCAGGCACCACTTCTAATTTTCTGACGTTAACGATTTCATTAGCATTGCAGGCCTAGGTGAATTCTTTCAGCCATCCAATGGGGTCCTGATTTCCTCCTTGATAATTGGGGATTTCAACCACACAGATCTCTTTTCCAAGAGGATTATTCAATGCATTGGTGTTTGCTTGCATCTAAGCTTATAAATTTATAATGACATTGTTTGTATTTACTGCTCATAGAGGTTGCAAAATTTCTTGCAATGCTTGTAATGCTGCAGTTAGATTTTGAAGATCCGCTACTTAAGCTACCATTGGATTTTCTTCTGGGAATAACCAGTCAAGATTTAACAATTCGTTGTTGAAAATTAAATTGCCAAAAAATGGTGTGTTCAATAATCCTATATGTTCTGGTCTAAAATTATAATTTAAAGATATCGGTTAGGTAATTTCAGCTAATATTAAATTATTGTTTTGTAATTCATCTTCTTGAATATTATTGATTGTGAAACTAACTGGATCTTTTGTAAGATGCCAAAAACGAAGCTTTAATCCAAAAGGGAAATAACAGTTATAATGAAATTGATTGTTATAGGATTTTTCTTTATTAAGGCTCAGTTGAAACATGCAAAATTATCTAAATTCTTCTATTTAGATTCTGGCAGAAGGCACCAAATGTTAATAGCATTTCTTTGATGTTTATGGGTTATAAACTGAGTTTAAAGGTAAGAAGAAGGTATTGTGTGTTATTGTTTTACTAATTTAATATTTAATATAATAATCAGAATTTTAACTTTAATTCAACATAAATATCGTATTACCTGAAACGTCAGTATTCTATACGATCAGGTATGATAATTAATTATATCTTTCGAAGTTTATTATAATAAAAATGTAAAAGGGAATAATGGATAACAATGTACAATGAGATCTCTTTAAATGCATCCCCCTTGAAACTATAGTAAAAATATGCATTTAAGGAAGGTATGCATTTAAAGAGAGAAATTTGTATGATCTTTATATACTTGGGGCTGTATGGAATGTGCATTTATAGAAAAAATATATATGCATGCATTTAGGAAGGAAGCATTTAGAGAAGTCTCACAGTATTCGTTTTTTAGGGATTTTATCAGACTTTTTCAAGGATTAGATAAACTGTTTATTATTTCGGGTATTTAATTCTTTTTTTATTGTGTTAAAAAACTGTGTTTCTTTTATAAAGGAAATTCTGCTATTTATATATATATATTTCTAACAGAACAATTATGGTTAATGAACAGCGAGCATTAATAGCCAGTGAACAATAATGATCAGTGAACATTAATGGCCAGTGAATAATAATGACTAGCGAACATTAATGGGCAGTGATCTTCATTACGCTAACTTAAATTCTGTTAGCTGAGTTTCTTATAATAATAATAATAGTAATAAAACCTTAAGCAATACATATATAGAAGTGAAACGCTAATAATAAATGCTAATAAACTGAAAATAAAATAAAGAAGAAAATAATAATAGACACATTAATAAATGTTAATATAATACTTATTAATAAAACCAATATATCTTATGATACAAGAATTAATACATATAATTATTAATGTAACAATAGCATTTAACATAACATAATATTTTTTTTTTGACAAATATCTTCCAATTTTTTCATAAAAGTATTATTATTTCCAGTATTATCACTTGTAATTGCAAAAATCTATAATAATAAAATATTTATTAATACTTATTTAAAAATAAAAAAAAGTATAAAAAATTATTTACCTTTGCTAAAATTCCAAATTCATTACAACTTTTTACAAAAATATCACACAGATTTTTATCAGAATGAGAACCATAAACATTTATAAAGTCAAGTAAATTATCTGTAAGTTTCCAATCTTTAGAAATCCAATGTATTGTAATAGCTAAAAAGCATAACTATTTATGAATGTTCATACATCTAAAGCAAATAAAATCCTTCTAGAAATATTCTATTAAAATAAGATTTAAAGTAAATATTTTTTAAAAAAATATAAATTTTAAACTCAATTGAAATAACATTTTCATTTTTATTTGTTCCATTTCAAAAATTTCTATTATATCTTTTTTTGCTGTATTTGCTGAAGGTATTAATGCATTAGAATTTAAAAACTTTATCATTTGTCGAAAATACTTGTTTTCAAGCGTTGTAAATGGTTGATCATCAGTAATTATCCATTTGAAATAAATTTACGAAAATCTTTTTGTGTAAATTTAAAAATACAAATAAAATTAATAAAATTAATGTAAAAAAAAGTATATTTTTTTATAATAAAATATATACATTATTTAAAGTCTCTTCTACTCTTACAAATTCATCTAATGTACTTTGTTCTTCATCTATTAGGTGTTTTGATTTTTTTGGATTTTATTTGGATGATGATGCTCTAAATGATGCTAAAGATTTGTTGTATTTGAATCTCTAATCTTTTGATAATACACTACATTTTACTTTATTAGAAATACATACGAGCAGTTAAGATATCTAACTTCTCTATGAATTTTGAATTTTTGTGTTCAGGTTAAGGTTGCTTGACGAAATCAAGAGTTTAGACAGACGTTTAAATGGTAAAAGTAAAACTTGGTTAAGTTATATTAAAACCTTATTAAAAAATCTGCGAAATTTAGAAAAAGGTAAAACTATATCAAAGCTTATAAAAATGGCGAAACTATATCAAACACTTAGTAAAAATTTAGCGAAACTAAAGGTTTTACCATTTTGCCAAATCCAAAAAGAGTTTAGACAAGCAACCTTAGTTCAGGTGAAAGAATATTTTCTTCAAAAAGTTCTTTGAAAAAAAGTTCACTTCACAATGCCTTTCATTTTCCAAGAGAAGTTGTATTATCAGAATTAGAAAGGTCAATAATTTTACTTATTATTTATTTCATTATAGGCTAAGTCATGTAACGTAAAACAAATTATTATATTATATCATTTAAATCACATCACCTGATCATTCAGGTCATCCGGATTAAGCAAAATTGAAATTCTAACCTGGCGAGTTTTAAGATATTAGGACTTGTGACATAAAATAATAGTCCTGACTCGAATTTTTCTCGAGTCAGGTCAAATGACCAAGGTCGATCCAACCAGCTCAAAGCACTAAGCACAAGTACAGTATATATTTTATACAAAATTCCCAACACTATTCGAAAATATCTTTTTATTTGTCACATCTTAAAGAAATATCTTCAATTGTGGAAACTTTTTTCTAAAGAATATATTAATGCACTTAAATTTGATTTCAATACTATACTATGATATTGAAATTATCAAATATGTCTGCTATATCAGATATATCATATTTATTTTAAATATCTTATTTATTTATTTATTTGTTAATTTTTTATATTTGTAATATTTATTTTTATTTATTATATACGCTTTATTTTTAACTTTATTATATCTGCTAGTAAATTAAAATAATCAATAAAGTCTGACAAAAAGAATCCAACAGTTTGACATACTCATCTTGATATGATCAGAATCTGACGGTCAAGAATTCTGGATTATAAGAATGGCTACATAACAATTTTTGTAAATTTATACTAACACTCGAATACCTCAACATCGATCCTATTTAATCCATCTAGTTCTTGATTATCAGTAATTTGAACAATCTACTGTATGTAATTTTCAGGATTTTTATTTTATGTTTATCAAGTATATTTACAGTCAGGATTTTGTGTGTGATCAACTCATTTTATTAACCCATATTAAGATTTGTCATACTTAAAAATCAGGACCAAATTATCAATATGCTTGACCTGTGTAATAGAATTTGTAGCTACTGACTTTACCAAGATTTAAAATGAAACTATTCGAAAATGAAATCTTTCTTTGTGTTGTAAACTTTCTATGAATAACTTTTTAAACTTTTTGAAGAAAATATCTATTGGTGCGTATGATTTATTCCTTTGAGATTTCAAAATAAGATTCTGGAATTTGTATTTGGGATTTAGAAATAATATGAGTTTTTCCCAAAAGGTAAAAACTATGTTAAT